TATTTATTTGTTTATTTAATGTTACTGTTGAATTGAGGTGGAAGGTATATGGATGTTCATTACACTACTGTTTAAGTTGGTTGGGGCAAATACAGAGCTTTACAAATTACTGAACCTCAAACCAGCTAAAAGTGTTAGTTATATGTGCATTTCAATTTCAATAGGAACCAGAAGATAGCACCTTCAGGCGACAAGGATTGGCAGGTGAGGGCCATGAAGAGGTCTTGCATCCTTAGATGGCAACGGCATGAAGTTGAATTTTCACTTAGATTCTAGCCCAGGAAATTATTCTCAAGCAATTGCCTTTGTCATGCTGTGCTCTTTGTCCATACAGAAAAACCTACCAGTACACCTTTTCAAACAAAGAAAACCTTACCAGCCTCCACACCTTCCCCATACCACATGACACATACTGGAACTAGAGACTAAAATGACTGTGGGGTGCCTGGGCGGCACTGGGTTAAGTGTCCAACTCTTGATTTCAGTTGAGGTTGAGCCCCACATCTGGCTCCACACTGAGCATGGAATCTGCTTAAGATCCTCTTTCTCTACCTCTGACCCTCTCCCTTGCTTGAGCGCATGCACTTGCTCTCTCTCTCTCCCTAAAATTAATTAATGTGCATTCATTACTACTCCATTGGTATGAATTGTTTCTCACAGATAAGTGGCTATTTTTAAAAGATGGTTTTAAGCAATCCACAGCCAGTTTATTGCTACAGTTAAAAGAACTAAGTGTGCAGATTACAGAAACTCCCAAAACCCTTGTGACTTCCCTCATGACAAGTTTTATTCAACTGAGTTTTAATTTATGAAAACGTGGAACTGTGAAAGAAGGTAACAGAACAAAAAATATATAGCAAATGTTTTATGACAACACAAAATGCTTTATTCTTCTTTAATTTTTATTTATTTTATAAAGCTTTATTTATTTAAGTGATCTCTATACCCAACATGGGGCTCAAACTCACAACCCCAAGATCAATAGCCAGATGGTCTACAGACTGAGCCAGCCAGGTACCCCCCAACACAAAATGGTTTAAAGTTTTTTTTTTAAGTCAGTACTTTGTTGTTGATTTATTTTGAGAGACAGAGTGAATGGGGAAGGCACAGAGAAAGAGGGAGAGAGAGAGAATCCCAGGTAGGCTCTGAGCTGTCAGGTTCTGAGCTGTCAGCCAGATGTGGAGCTTGAATTCGAGAACCATGAGATCATGACCTGAGCCGAAACCAAGAGCTGGTCGCTGAACCTACTGAGCCCCCCAGGTGCCCCTAAAGATGTTATTGTCGTTGTTTTTTTAATATTTATTTTTGAGAGAGAGAGAGAGAGTATGAGTGTGGGAGGAGCAGGGAGGGGCAGAGAGGGGAGGGCAGAGGATCCCAAGTGGGCTCCACACTGACAGGAGACAGCTCTAGGCAGGGCTCGAACTCACAAAACTCAAGATCATGACCTCAGCCGAAGTCACATGCTCAACAGACGGAGCCACCTATGGGCCCCATAAATGTTTTACACGGTGTTTTTTAAACTGTTAGAAACGTCAAGATTTCTATTCCTTTAAAAGTTTTATTTCTACAGAGTTGAGAAAATAACATCTGTACTCGATTCCTAGACCAATGTCCCCTGAAAACAGGAAATGTATACAATGCTATCACCTCCCCACTTACATAGCTCTACACATAGTTTTATACTAGCACATGCAAATATTTTCCCAATAAGATGATTCTTATCTACAGTTCAAAATAACAGCTGACACTCACCTGGTAATTCAATTATCAGGCACTATTCTAAGTAGTTTACATAATTTATTTCATTTAGTCCTCAGAGGAATCCTATAAAGTAGGTACTATTATTCTCATTTGAAGATGACAAAACTGAAGCTAACAGGTAATTCTTACCTAGAATTAGTTTGCCAGACATTTAAGAGATTAAATTTCAAATACCGGCTAAACCAGTTACACTTGAATTCTAATCAATTTAGACTTCTGGAAAATATGTTTAAATATAATCATTAATTCCAATGCAAACCTTTCATATTGAATATAAAGTCAGTTTTCCTCAGTTATGCTACATTTTCTTACTGGCAAAGGAAGTAGTGAAATGCCTTACTACTTTCCTTAACTTGAAAGTGTTTCTGATTGATAGTTCCTCAAACTCTTAATGGAACAAGAAGCAGACAAAAATTGGACAAATTCCACTTCTCCACTTCACCCTCAGGTATCTGTTTTTAGTCATCTAAACCTTCTGCATCATGCTAAAATTACTGCTTTAAAAATCAACTCTGCTGTCAGATACTAACCAGATAAACTGACGGCTCTCCCAGGGCAGAGGAAGGACTCTGTAGCAGGCTGAGGGACAATGCTCTTGGAAGCCACCCAAAATGCCCTAAGTTAATTTACCTAAATCTAATCCGTTCATGCATTCATCAGGACCCAATTCCTGTCCTCCCCAAGACCAGCCCACAGACTCGTCTTCTCTGACTGCTGGAGGTGGGTGGCACATAATTTCAGCTACATTATGTCATAATGCTAATCATAACTCTTAAAGGCATCTTTTGTCGGTATTTGCTTTGAGTATCTGGCATAGTACAAATACAGATAATGCAAAAAGTCAGTAACCTGTTGTTTCATTAGGCTTTCTGGTTCAAGGTACATTTGTACTGGTTGTGGTTGAGAATCTCAGTCAGGCTTGATTCACTTTTTGGCAACTAGGAAAACAGCTCTTACAGGAATATGAAGTTCTGTTTCTCCACAAGCCACACAGTAAAATAATTGAACAGTTCTATAGCAGTTCAGGACCTTTCCATTTGGTCAAATGTAAATAAACCCAAATGGGATTAGTGCTCCCTTCATCTTGAGGCAAAAATAGCTTTTTCTCATCCACACTATGGCTTACATTTCCTCATTATGTGACTTTCTATTTTAAGTATGAATGCTTTAATTCTGGTGTCACCTTAGACCTAAAGTAGTTCCAGTATTTCTAAGTGTGGCCAGAGCTCAAGGCCACAAAATTTAATAAAATGTTTGCTGACTCCAAATTGCCTGTATTTCTACTCTTGGGAGTCTGATTGAGTCATAAAATAACCATAAGGTCAAGTGGCCAAACAAGTATTACACATTATAACCAGCTAACTACTTTCTGTCATTCACCCAAAATCAGTAGGTAGTGTGCTCATCATCCTTAGAGGTCTTTATGGAGAGACTATTGGCCATATGATAGAGGATGCTGAAAGCAGTAAACCAATCTGACAACAGCTAGATAACATCCCTTCCAACTTGAAGATTCTCGACAGTTAAATTTGTCAGAAGACACAGGAGAGCATTCAATTTCTCTCAGGCTACCATTGCTTGAGTAACTCTGTAGTTCCCCCAAGAATCCTTCAACATTACCTGTTTATGGGCCACTGAGTTACTTACTGGTCACCTCATTATCAAAGACAGGTTATGAAGAGACCGAGCTCAAACACATAACTCATGTAAAATACAAGAGTCATAAAGGATTATGGAGAAAATATTCTATGCATTATCAAGAGCCATACAAAAATGTGTGGGGCACCTGGGTGGCTCAGTCAGTTAAGTGTCCAACTCTTAATTTCGGCTCAGGTCATGATGTCATGGTTCATGGCTTCAAGCCCCAGGTCAGGCTCTGCACTGGCAATGAGGAGCCTGCTTGGGATTCTCTCTTTTTTCTCTCTAAATAAATAAATAAATAAATAAATAAATAAATAAACATTAAAAAAAAAAAAAGTGTGATGGTGTTACGCAGAGCTTCTGAATCCCCAAAGCCCTGTTGACCCTATGTTCTGGTTAATGAGGAAGAGACTGGACTATAAAAAATCAGTTCCTAGTACAAATTTACACTGAGATTTTGGAGCGCATCCAATTTCCATAGCAAATGCATAAAGTACACCAGCGTAGTAGAAATCAATATATCTGAAATTAGAACAACAAACGTCTTCAGTGTAAGCAAAAACTGATGGTCACAGTATCCGTGCTTTTTTCCCCACAGGTCCAGAATGAAAGAAGTCTCACACTCTCAGATCCCTGATTCTTTAAAGGTCTCCTGTCACTAGGTCACGTCTTCCAAAGCCTTGCTATATGATCTTGCTTTCTAAACTTATTTTTACAGTTGTGGAAAGAATTTATTTGTGATTTCTCATAGTCGACAGTGGTTTTAAGTGCTTGCCCAGAACCGTCACAGGAACGGAGTATGTTTTCTACAGGATCCATCCAGGGCTCCTGAATTCGAGGTTGGTGCAATGTAGGATAAAGCAAAGGAGTTGGGGGCGGGGGGCGCTTTCATGAGCAGGAAGAAGAGAAAAGAGCGGTGCCTGTGCTCTGAGGATGATGGGGACTCCCATCTTGAGTGAAAAGGACAGCCCCACAGGAGCCTGAGCCCACGGCTCTAGCCCTCGGCCACAAAGCTCCAGAGCTGGAGGCTGCCCAGGACCCCGGCAATCTCTGGGCACCCCAGCTCCAGACCTCAACGACAGCCGTCCTCGGTTCTGAGACCAGCCAGAGGCGCCCGGCCACGTTCCCACCCCCTACCCGAACTCACAGCCAGTCTCCTTCTTGATCTCCTCGAGCTCTTCGTCCCGCAATAACGTGGAAGCCCGAGACCCCATCACCGAGCCGGAAGCTGCTCCGGGAGCAGGGGCGCCTGAAGCGACAGCGGCGACGGGAAAGAGGGAGGGAAGGGAGAGAGGCCCAAGGGTCAAGAGACGAGAGGGCAGTGTTCTTACTGCGGACCAGGGAGGGAACCCAGAGGTGGCGAGCGGAGGAGGGCGGTCCGAGGACCAACCAATTAGGAGCGAGGCTGCACCCTGCGCAGAAGTCAACGCTGACGCTTTTAGCTCCAGCCCCGGAATGAATCAGCCCAGCGCAGGGCCGGGTATTCCTAAGCGCAGACCACGCCCCCGGAAGCATGATGCTACCGGCCTTAAAAAGGCAATGCCACTCTGGCTCTAGCGACCGCAATTAAAAGGGCAACGTCATCGACCCACAGTTTTACAACAAGCTAACCTGAAGCAGGCAGCGTAGGCAACCCGTTTCTCGCAGAACTCAAAAAGTGGAAATCCCACCCACAGGTGGCAGGGACTGCAGAGAGAAACAAAAATATAGACAAAACGTCTCCTGGGGCAACGCTAGGGTGTGTCTCTTGAGAACTGCATGCTGGGAGTTGCACCTCCTTTTTTCTGGAGGCCCTCTCACCTCCTGGCCGCTGGGGACGTTCGGGAGTCAGCTTCAGGGCTGCGTGCCGATTGGCTCCTTGGGAAACAGCAGGCACCCCTGGTTGCGTCCCGCTGGCGTCTGGTCCTCGGTGTGGGTGTTCGGCGCCGCGTTTTTCGGTTTGTTTTCGGCACTGTGTTTTGGTAACCGCCAACGCCAGCGTAAAACTCTCCAAGAGTTCTTACGTAAAAGCAGCCCATTCTTTTTTAGCTCAAGACTGAATGAAGCTCGAGGGAGTCACCATTTGCGTGAAATTGGGACAGGATTTCCCAAACTTCCCTTCGGGGGAGAAAATCTATCGGCGGGCGAGATTAAATTCTCAGCGTACGGTCCGCCATTTACTTGAAGTTCTTTATTTTGCCTTAACAATGAGGAATTTTGCATTTTATTTTTATGACATTATTTTCTGGAAAATGTTTAAGCCATCCGTTAAATTAGTACACCCTCTCCGGTGAACCATTTCTTTTCCTGTGGCTTCAATGCCTTTTCACCCCCTCCCCACCCTTTGAGTGTTGCTTTGTACAGAACCCCTTTGAGATGCGGAAGAACCAAATTCTGACCACTGTCACTTAGTATCTACACTACTTTTAAGCTTTACCTAAGGTTTTGACGACTTAGCATGAGGCCAAGGTTCTAGTCTCAGTGGGTAGTTTCCATGGTTGACTTGCTCTTGTCTGATCTAGTGTTGTCTCTCTTCAACTGCTCTGACATGGCAGCTGGATTGGTCATGCATAAAATTGTAATAGTTCTAACGGTTTAGTTAGTAAAACTGCCAAATTCTGGAAATGTTACTAATGTAGAAGAGACCAGGAGAAATTAGATCCCAGAGATTTCTGGGTGAGCAGTTATGGCAGCATGTATTGGCAAGTATTTTGCCAATATCAGTTTTTTGGTTTTTTTCCATTTGCTCTTTAAGAGTTTTTGGTTTGTTGGTTGGTTGGTGTTAAAAAGATAAATGTATATGCCATTTAAAAGCCTCTAAATGTTCTGCTTGTTCCATTTAGCTAAGCAATGAAAGGTAGTATTACCTCATATAGACCAAGAACCCAAACCTTGCCTGAAGTTTTATGGTTTTCAATTTCCCATGTATAAATTAGAGTTGGTGCTTGCAATGGTCCTTTCCCCATTATTCTAAAAAGATGAGTGAGCAAAACTGAATTACTCTCGTGTTTTTATTTTTCTTGTTCCTTCCAGGTATGAGAAAAGGGAAAATAACCTCATTCCCCCCAAAATATTTTTAAAATCATAGATCTCTTTTATTTTCAAGTGGTTGGACACTTAAAGAAGATTGTTTGAAGACTGCCTTTCCATCAAATAGCATGGATCCCAGCAGCGACTACCATTTCCTCAATCAGATTTTGTGGAGAAGGGTGAAACTCACATTGGTTTGTGGCATCTTTGAGGGAGTACTCCAGCATGTGGACCCTAACAAGATTGTTGTCCTGAAGAAAGGTCTCATTTTATTTCTCATCATCTTCTGCTTTTTAAGAGATTAATAGCTAAGTTTGGGTGATGGCTCTGGGCTTCATTAGCAACTAGGAGGGAGTCATTCCTATTCTAGGAAAGAGGTAGGAGGAAGATTAGAATGCTATTTTCCCCGACAGAAAACATGGCTATATATGCTGGCTTGTCCCCACTTCTATACTTTTGTTTACATGATAGTGAAATTTTTCAATGTGTAGATTCTTTTTTCATTGGGTACTTTTTAATTTCTTTCCATATGTGTCTTGAAATTAAAAATCATCACTGGATTCGATAGAATTCCTTTTGGCTTCAACAGACAAATTCACAAAGACAAAGGTAGATTTACTTTTGGCTTCAACAGACAAATTCACAAATTAATTTTTCTCATGCAAAAACAAGTGTAGAGATAGGCTGCTGAGGAATAGTGCAGTGACTCAAAGATGCCAGGAGGGACCAGGTGCCTTGTGCTTTTGCCACCTCGGTGATCATCTGTCATCATCATGGTTACAAGGTAGCCTCTATATCTCCCAGCTTCAATTCTGTTCATTTTAAGGGTTGCAACTCAGGAACAGCCAAATAGAAAAGATGCATTGGCAAAATTATGTGGGAAGGGACTCAGAATTTCCATGCCCTCTATGGGTATACCACCCGCTTAGTTCCTACATGTGTTCACCTTGAAAGTCCAATATATAGTTTTTATTCAGCTAGAATATTGACTTGCTAGGATAGTTGTTTCCCTGAAAGAAGTTTCAAGTTCACAATTGAAGCTTGTATACGTGGCATTTGAGAGATTAGTGTTATTCTTAAGCCATGTTATAAGTTAAAATAGACCTTTGTGGACTAGGGTGGGACTATACCAGACTTTTGCAGTATAGTAACTCATTCAATAATCATTTGTGGTTTTTTTGTTAATTTTGCTTTTTAAATTTATTTTAAGTAGGCTGCATACCTAACATGGGGCTTCTACTCATGACCACGAGAGCGAGAGTTGCGTGCTCTTCCAGCTAACCTAGCCAGGCATCCCTCAGTAATATTTTATTGATAGTTTATTTTATTGATTTATTTTGATATTGATAATATTTTATTGATTTATTGCAGGTACTAGGACAGATATCAGGGATATAGATAAGGGTTACATGGTCGCTGTCCTCAAAAAACTGAGTCTAGTAAGGAGACAGATAAGCAAGCAGAAAGCTATAATGCAGTATGATATCCTCTTCTGATAGAGGGAAACACAAGATGCCATGGAAACACAAACGGTTCAGTTAATTTTTTTTAAGTTTATTTATTTATTTTGAGAAAGCAAGAGCTTGTGTGTGTGGAAGGGGCAGAGAGAGAGGGAGAGAGAGAACCTAAGCAGGTTTGCACTGTTAGCACAGACCCCAGTGCAGGGCTTCTACCCACAAACCATGAGATGATGACCTGAGCTAAAATCAAGAGTCAGATGCCCAACTGAATGAGCCACCCAGGTGCCCCAAAGTTTCAGTTAATTTAGATCTGGGAGTGGTAGAGTTAGGATAGTAGGGAAGGTGTCCCAAAGGTGAGTGGGATTTAGCTAGGTGGGAAAAGAGTGGAAGGTGTTTCAAGCCAGTCGTTGTCAAACTTGAGCTGTGGATCAGAAACACCTGGAAGACTTGTTAAAACACAGATTCCTGGGCCCCCCTCCCAGAGATTCTCATTCTTAAGGTCTGAGGTGGGGGCCAACAATTTGTATTTCTAACAAGTTTCTTGGTGATGCTGATGCTTAGTTGGGGAACCACACTTTGAGAGAACCATAGTTTTATGCAGAAAGTAGCAGCATGTACAAAAAATGTAAAGACATGAAAACTTGGTGCATTCAGGAAACCTAAGTAAAATTCAGTATGAGACTTAAGAGTGGAGAAGTAGACATGGGACTAATCAGAAGGCCTTAGCATATCATAGCATTTGGACACTTCTGAAAGCAATGAGGAACAATTTGAAAGACTTTTTTCTTTTTTAATTTTCAGTAGGCTCTAGGCCCAATATGAGGCCTAACTCCCAGCCCCGAGATCAAGAATGGCATGCTTTACCAACTGAGCCAGCGAGGTGCACCATAATTTGAAAGATTTTTTTAAGTAAGAGGCATCTAAGTTTTCAAGCTTGTTGCCTGAAATGTTTAATCCTGTGTTAGTTGGGAACAATGCTCAGCTACTAGAAACAAACTCAATCCAGTGGCTCAAACTAGGAGTTTATTCTCTTATATAAAAGAAGACAGGCATCCCAGTGCTACTGTGACTCTCCCCAGAGTTGAGGGAGATCCAGATTTTTCATCTTTCTGCTCTGCCATCTTTAGCCCATGCCTTCAAACCTCAAGATCATGTGATGGCTGGTAGAAGTTACAGGAGGAAGAGGACAGAGAGGTAGGGCAGTGTTCCTCCCAGCTGAGTCAATCCCCTTAAAGAGATGCCCTGGAGGTCCAAGAAACCACTCCTGTTTGTGGAGAGACTAAGCAGTTTGCTAGCCTGAATAAATGGCGTTGAATGGACAACAATCAGGATATGCCACATAATTGTTCAACAAAGTGTTCAGTCTAGATAAAATATAGACTTTAATTATATAGTCTTTAATGATACTGATTTTATATAGTTGACATAGTAAGTTAGGTATGTTATATGCTTTTTTTAGTTAACACAATAACAAGCTTTTGCTGGTATTATTTGAAACTCCAATTTAATGGCCAAACATTTTCTTTTCTTTTATTTTTTAAAGTTTTTTTTCATTTTTTTTATTCCTCGAATTCCATTTAGTTAAAATACAGTATTATATTAGTTTCAAGTGTACAATAGAGTGATTCAACAATTCTATATACACAACCTAGTGTCCATCATGACAAGTGCACTACTTAATCCCCAACAACTAAATAACCCACCCCTCCATCCCTTCCCCTCTAGTAACTATTAGTTTGTTCTCTGTAATTTAGAGTCTATTTGTTTTGCTTTGTTTTGTTTTAATTTTTATTTATTTATTTTTAATTTACATCGAAGTTAGTATATAGTGCGACAGTGATTTCAGAAATAGATTTCTTAATGCCCCTTACTCATTTAGCCCATCCCCCCTGCCACAAACCCTCTAGTAATCCTCTGTTTGTTCTTCATATTTAAGAATCTTTTATGTTTTTTCCCCCTCCCTGTTTTTATATTATTTTTGCTTCCCTTCCCTTGTATTCATCTGTTCTGTGTCTTAAAGTCCTCATATGAGTAAAGTCATATGATACTTGTCTTTCTCTAATTTTGCTTAGCATAATACCTTCATTTTTTTTAATTGCTGTGTAAAATACACACACACACACACACACCACACCACACCACATCTTCTTTATCCATTCATCCATTGATGAACATTTGGGCTCTTTCCATACTTTGGCTATTGTTGATAGCACTGCTATAAACATTGGAGTGCATGTGTCCCTTTGAAACAGCATACCTGTATCCGTTTTATAAATACCCAGTACTGCAATTGCCGGGTTGTAGGGTAGTTGTATTTTTAATTTTTTGAGGAACCTCCATACTGTTTTCCAGAGTGGCTGCACCGGTTTGCATTCCCACCAACAGTGCAAAAGAGATTCTCTTTCTCCGCATCCTCGCTAACATGTGTTGTTGCCTGAGTTAATGTTAGCCATTCTGATAGGTGTGAGGTGGTATCTCCTTGTGGTTTTGATTTGTTTTTCCCTGATGATGAGTGATGTTGAGCATTTTTTCATGTGTCAGTTGGCCATCTGGGTATCTTCTGTGGAGAAGTGTCTATTCATGTCTTTTGCCCATTTCTTCACTGGATGATTTGTTTTTTGGGTGTTGAGTTTGATAAGTTCTTTATTGATTTTGGATACTAACCCTTTATGTGATATGTCATTTGCAAATATCTTTTCCCATTCATTCGGTTGCCTTCTAGTTTTGCTCATTGTTTCCTTTGCTGTACAGAAGCTTTTTATTTTGATGGGGTCCCAGTTATTCATTTTTGCTTTTGTTTCCCTTTCCTCTGGAGATGTGTTGAGTAAGAAGTTGCTGTGGCCAGGACCAAAGAGGTTTTTGCCTGTTTTCTCCTCAAGGATTTTGATGTATCTTACATTAAGGTCTTTCATCTTACATTTAGGTCTTTCATCCATTTTGAGTTTATTTTTCTGTATGGTGTATAAAGTGGTCAGGGTTCATTTTTCTGCATTTTGCTATCTAGCTTTCCCAGCACCACTTGCTGAAGATACTGTATTCCATTGGATATTATTTGCTGCTTGGTCAAAGATGAGTTGGCCATATGTTTGTGGGTCCATTTCTGGGTTTCCTATTCTGTTCCATTGATGTGAGTGTCTGTTTTTGTGCCAGTACCATACTGTTTTGATGATTACGGCTTTGTAATACAGCTTGAAGTTCAGGGTTGTGATTCCTCCTGCTTTGGTTTTCTTTTTCAAGATTACTTTGGCTATTTGGGGTCTTTTCTGGTTCCATACAAATTTTAGGATCATTTGTTCTAGCTCTGTGAAGAATGCTGGTATTATTTTGATAAATATTGCATTGAATATGTACATTGCTTTGGATAGTATTGACATTTTAACAGTATTTGTTCTTACTATCCAGGAGCATGGAATATTTTTCCATTTTTTTATGCCTTCCTCAATTTCTTTTATAGGCTTTCTGTAGTTTTCAGTGTATAGATTTTTCACCTCTTTGGTTAGATTTATTTCTAGGTATTTTATGGTTTTTGGTGCAGTTGTAAATGAGATTGATTCCTTGATTTCTCTTTCTGTTGCTTCATTGTTGATGTATAGGAATGCAAGTGATTTCTGTGCATTGATTTTATATCCTGCAACTTTGCTGAACTCATGAATCAGTTCTAGCAGTTTTTGTGTGGAATCTTTTGGGTTTTCCATGTAGCGTATCATGTCATCTGCAAAGAGTGGAAGTTTGACCTCCTCCTGGATGATTTGGATGCTTTTTATTTCTTTGTGTTATCAGATGGCTGAGGCTAAGACTTCTAATACTATGTTGAATAACCATGGCGAGAGTGGACATCCCTGTCTTGTTCCTGACCTTAGAGGGAAAGCTCCCAGTTTTTCCCCATGGAGGATGATATTAGCGTTGGGTCTTTTATATATGCCTTTTATGATCTCAAGGTATGATCCTTCTATCCCTGCTTTCTTGAGGGTTTTTATCAAGAAACAATGCTGTATTTTCTCAAATGCTTTCTCTGCATCTGTTGAGAGGATATATGGTTCTTGTCATTTCTTTTATTGATATGATGAATCACATTGATTGTTTTGCAGATATTGAACCAGCCCTGCATCCCAGGTATAAATCTCACTTGGTCTTGGTGAATAATTTTTTTAATGTATTGTTGGATCCAGTTGGCTAATATCTTGTTGAGGATTTTAATAGCTAAACATTTTACAGTATAGTTTTAAAAATATTTACTATAGGAACACCTGAGTACCTTAATTGGTTAAGCATCTGATTTTGGCTCAGGTCATGATCTCATGGTTTGTGATTTCAAGCCCTGTGCCAGACTCTGCACTGGCAGTGTGGAACCTGCTTCGTATTCTCTGTCTCCCTGTCTCTGTGCCCTGTGTATACACACACACTCTCTCTGTCACTCTATTTCTCTCTCAAAAATAAATAAACATTTTGTAAAAAAATAAAATAAAAATATTTAGTGTATTTTATAATTATAAAATAAAATTTTTATTTGTAGATTATATATACATTGTAACACATTATGAAGTACAATTTAATATTGTTATTATATATGTGTGTATATATATATATATGTATACTTATACATATATATACGCATTTTTTTTAAGTAGACTTCATGCCCAGCACGGTGCCCAATGTGGGGCTTGAACTCACAACCCTAAGATCAAGAGTAGGACACTTAAGTGACTAAGCCAATACTTGGTGCTCCAATACTTGTTATAATTTATAATTATTTTCTTAGGAATAGTTCCTACAAGTGAAATTACTAGGTAAAAGTTATAGATATTTTAAATATTTTTGATGCGGGGCGCCTGGGTGGCGCAGTCGGTTAAGCGTCCGACTTCAGCCAGGTCACGATCTCGCGGTCCGGGAGCTCGAGCCCCGCGTCAGGCTCTGGGCTGATGGCTCAGAGCCTGGAGCCTGTTTCGATTCTGTGTCTCCCTCTCTCTCTGCCCCTCCCCCGTTCATGCTCTGTCTCTCTCTGTCCCCAAAATAAATAAACGTTGAAAAAAAAAATTAAAAAAAAAATTTTTGATGCATATTTCCAAATAGTTTTTCTAAAGGGTTGTGCCTTTCTACTTCACTACTAGCTATGTGCAAGTGATACTCAGTAACATTGGATATTTTAAAAAAATTGCTGATGTGTATCTTTCCTAAATTCTTGCTAGTTTTATAGGTAAAAAGTGCTGTTTCATTTTGGCCTGTTTATAAAATATTTCTAAAGAAGTTGAATGTATTTCTTGACACTTGTTTACTAATTTTGTATACTATTTGAACAAAGCAGGAGTATTTTCACTATGACGGCAGGAAGGATTGAAGTAGGGAGAAACTATAGGCAGAGAGCATAGACAGGGAACTAGTTTGACAACCAAGGGATCCAATAAAGGGAAAATGATAGTGGTCATAGCTAAGGTTCAGCAAGGAAAGGAAAAGAGAGAGACAGATTCTAGGAATACATAAGAGATGGGATAAATAACCTGGTAATCAATTGGATAGAGAGCAATGGAACATGACTCCTACATTTATGACTGACTCAGAAGATTACATGTATAGTACTATTATTAATTGATAGAAATGGGAAGAGAAAGTTTGTTGGTTCTACTGGGAGGAGGTAATGATTTCAGTTTGAGAATGTTACAGTCAGTCTCCTAGGAAATGTGAGTGGAACTGAGAGAAATAATCCATGTTGTAGAAATAATGAATGTTGGGGGTGCCTGGCTAGCTCATTTGGAAGAGCCAAATGACTCTTGATCTCGTGGTCATGAGTTTGAGCCCCACATTAGGTATAGAGATTACTTAAAAAAAAATGGTGTCAGGATGTCCGAGGTGGTAGAGGCGGGTAAAGAGATTGGGAGGAGCAAATGAGGGAGACAGCTAACATTGGTTAGGAGTTGTGTATTAAAATAACTGAGGCCAAGGTTTGAATCCTGACCCTGTCTTTTCTTAGTAGTGTGACCTTAAGTTATTTAACTTTTCTGAGTCTCACATTCTTCCATAACAGAGAGAATGAAATGCCTCTCTCGCTATGTTACTGGAGAGTCAAATGTGGGCAAATAATTAGCATGGTGCCTACTTCAGTATGCTCAGTATGATAGCTCTAGGAAATTAGTAGGAAAAGAACTAAACTTGAAGTGTATCCTATAAGGCAAAGAAGAAAGGAGAGAACAGTATTGTCAAAGGATACATGGGAGACAAGGGTGATAAGACTATAAACGTTTTTTTTTTAGATTTGAAAAATAGGCAGTTGGTGATTTTTGACCTCAGTAAGAATATATTCAGTGGAATAGTGAGGGTGAAACTCGATTATTTTGGATTGCTGAGCAGCATGGAAATATACAACTGCTGGGAGCACTTCCGTCTAGAAAAGTGACACCAGGGATGCCTGGGTGGTTCAGTCAGTTAAGCATCCAACTTTGGCTCAGGTCATGATCTCATGTGGGTTTGAGCCCCACATTGACAACTCAGAGCCTGTAGCCAGCTTCAGATTCTGTGTCTCCCACTCTCTCTGCCCCTCCCCATCTTATGCTCTATCTTTCCCTCTCTTTCTCAAAAATAAACATTAAAAAAAATTAGAAAAGCGACATCATTTTAGACATGACATCTAAACTTTTCCCTAACTCACCTATCTACTCAGGTAAGAGCTCTGTATTTGAGCCAGCAGTTGGATTATTGTCCTTACCAGTACTTGTGAGCATGTAGCATGACAGGAAACAGGGTGTAGACTCTAGAAGTACTCAACTGCCTTAAAATTTTATCCAGAATTAGGTGGAAAAAAAAAAACTACTAATATAATAAATAGATAGTCTTTAGCCTCAAGAGCCTTAGAATAATTCTTGGGAGAAGTTTAAATTCACTCTGCTACCACTGCCCTTTAAGTTCCTCTTGGACCATTGTTCCCTCTGTTCTTTTTTTTTTTTTTTTTAAGTTTATTTATTTATTTTCAGAGAGTATGAGTAGAGGAAGGACAGAGAGAGAAGAGAGAAAATCCCAAGCAGGCCTCGTGCTACCAGGTGTGGAGGCCAACGCAGGGCTCAAACTCATGAACCATGAGATTAGGACCTGAGCGAAAGCCAAGAGTTTGTTGCTTAAGCAACTGAACCACCCAGGCACCCCCAATCTGTTCTTTATACCACTTGTTACAAGGCTATAGCTTTGTAATTTATTATTGACTCTTCATTTCTTGGGGGAAAATAATTTGAGGATTTTTGTAAAACTCAGATATGGCACTTTTGGGGGGCATTATTTTCTTAAAATTTTAGGAAAATATTATCTTTTTTAATAACTAAATGAATCATTTTCTGTAACAGTGAAGAATGTGGAGACTGGTCGAAGTGTTCCAGGAGTGAAGATGTTTTTTGGGCACGAGATTGTGAACGGTGAGAGGTGCATGTTCCCTGACTGCAGGGATTGGGATTTGCATAGCAGTAAACTCACGGCTCCACCTCATTCCAACATTTGAAAACATATGAGATGTTGTATAGCCTTTAATATTACATTTATGAATTTTAAAAATATTTTTTAATGTTTATTTTTGAGAGAGAGAGAGAGAGAGAGAGAGAGACCGAGTGTGAATGGGGGAGGGGCAGAGAGAGAGAGAGAGAGGGAGACACAGAATCCAAAGCAGGCTCCAGACTCTGAGCTGTCAGCACAGAGCCTGATGCGGGGCTCAAATTCACAAACCATGAGATCATGGCCTGAGCCGAAGTCGGATGCTTAAATGACTGAGCCACCCAGGTGCCCCTGCGTTTATGAACCCTTAAAGTTGGTATTTGAGAATTGACCTTCATCTTACTTTCTCGGAGGGTACTATGAACAGAACAGTTCTAGAGAATTTTCATCATCTTAATTTTACAGTGTGAGGACCACTACTGCTTGTTACTGGAGACTCAGCCAGTAGGCAGTTAGGAATCTGAACAGAAAAGAATCTTGCTCAGCAATTAAATTTAACAGTACAGATTCACAGTACATTTGCAGTCCCTTATCTGAAACCTGAGGACCAAATGTTTCAGAATTCACAATTCTGCATTTTTTGGAAACCCTAATGCCAACTAGATACTGTTTAATATTACATTAACATTGGAAGTGGGTCTGGGAACAACTCTGTAATAAAACCGGGAAACTGCAGATAATCCTCCTAAGTGATAAAATAGGAATATAAATAGTATGTCAGTTCAGGTTTTGCTGCCAAAAAGAGATACAATTTTTGGTTTTCAGAGATTTTTGGATTTTGGAATTGCAAGAAGAAGCTCTTTTTTATTTTGTTTTTGTTTTGTTTTTCTGTTTTTTGGCGTTTTTGTTTGTTTCTTTTGCAGCTCTCTTCTTCATTTCTGCCATCAAAAGCCATTTAGCAAGAGTAGGTCCACTTGTTTGCCAAAAAAAGAGTAGATATGGAAGCTCTTTTGGTCAGTGTGCTTCCAAAAAGCCAAATAGGATAAGAGAAAAGGGGAGCAAGAACTGTTCCTCCTTTCAAGAAGTCTAAAGCAGAAAGCCTTCCAAGGAAGAGTAAAGATCAGTGTGGGGAGAACGGGAGATCGGGGACCTCGTGGAGCTGTTCATTTCTTACCAGTGGGGCAGATATGAGGAAAGGGAAGGACTCCTGTAGATGACAGATTACTGCTGTTTGAAAGATTACTTTGTTTTGTGAGAGTAGAATTGAGAGAGATGAAAGTCTCACCAAATTAATGACTGCCAATCTAGCCCTACTTCAAGGCAGCCAGCTATCTGTCCTTTCTCACTGAGTATGCTACTATAAACACTCTCTGTCCCTTGAACACCTTTTTGTAATGGCTGTGATGGTGGTAGTAGTAGTGGGATTTTTCTTTGAAAAAAATAAAAGATTTTAAGTAATCTCTACACCCAACATGGGGTTCAGACTCACTTCCTGAGATTGAGAGTCACATGTTAACAACTGAGCCAGCCAGGTGCCCCATAGTGGGATTCTTTTTTTTTTTTTTTGAAACTAGATTCCTTTCTTTTTTTTAATGTTTGTTTATTTTTGACAGAAGAGAGAGACAGAGCATGAGCAGGGGAGGGGCAGAGAGAGAGGGAGACACAGAATCCAAAGCAGGTTCCAGGCTCCAGGCTCTGAGCTGTCAGCACAGAGCTCAGTGCGAGGCTCAAACTCACAAACCGCGAGATCATGACCTGAGCTGAAGTCGGACGCCCAACCGACCGAGCCACCCAGGTGCCCCTACATTCCTTTTTTAAAGTTCATTTTTTTTATTTTGAGAGAGAAGGGGAGAGAAAGAATCCCAAGCAGTCTCCGCACTTACGGTACAGACCCCGACACGGGGCTCAGTCTGTGAGATTACTACCTGAGCCAAAACCAAGAGTCAAATGCTTAACCAACTAAGCCACCCAGGTGCCCCTATGTAGTGGGATTCCTAATTGTGTTCTATTAGCCTTTGCCCTGGATCAAAGCTAGGCTGTGGATGGGTTTGCAAAGAGAGGCAAAGGAATCACTACTACTATCTCCCTAACTCAAGAGAGGGCTAACCACTGACCAGCTTTGTGAACTGTACATGTGGATTTCATCTCTTCCTAAATCCTTTCTCAAGACTTGGCATTTTTTCATAATTTTTAAGTTCAAAGGGCAGTCTTCTCCTTCTTTTCCCTGTGGTTCAGTCAGCCACGGATTGAGCCTTTTTCCACTCTCCCTGAAAAGCACTTTGAATAAGAATTATTAAAGTGATAACTAACTAGAATTTAAATAAAACCTCAAACAAACAATAAATTTAAATGGGCCCCTAGGTGGCTCAGTTGGTTGAGCATCCAACTTTGTCTCAGGTCATGATCTCACAGCTCTTGAGTTCGAGCCCCACATTGGGCTCTGTGCTGACAGCTCAGAGCCTGGAGCCTGCTTCAGATTCTGTGTCTCCCTCACTGTCTGCTTGTCTGCTGCTCATGCTCTGTCTCTCTCTCTCTCAAAAATAAGTAAACATTAAATTAAAAAAATAAAATAAAATGAGGGGCGCCTGGGTGGCTAAGTCGGTTAAGCGGCAGACTTCGGCTCAGGTCATGATTTCGCGGTCCCTCTCTCTGACCCTCCCCCGTTCATGCTCTGTCTCTCTCTGTCTCAAAAATAAATAAACATTAAAAAAAATTTAAAAAAATTAAAAAAAATAAAATAAAATGAAGAATAAAAATTGACTACTCAATATTTTCAATGACTTTCACTTTCTCTGCCCAAGACTCAACACATCTAGATAGTGCAGGGGAAGGAGACATTTGGAACATAGTATGGCCCCTTAGTGGATTTTCTCTGACTAGTACCTATGTATACTTAATTGACTCTAAAATGCCATTAATTATAAAGTGCACTATTAAAAAAATTTTTTTTAATGTTTATCTTTATTTTTGAGACAGAGACTGAGCATGAGTGGGGGAGGGGCAGAGAGAGAGGGAGACACAGAATATGAAGCAGGCTCCAGGCTCTGAGCTGTCAGCACAGAGCCCGACGCAGGGCTTGAATTCGTCAACTGCGAGATCATGACCTGAGCTCAAGTCAGATGCTCAACCGACTGAGCCACCGAGGTGCCCCCGTGCACTATTACTTTTCACATCCTAAGAAAGAAAAAGCTGCCAATTAAACTGTCATGTGCACTTATTATAAATAATATGCAATTTCAGAGCTGTTTAAAAAGTACATCTTAGAATCAATAATAACAATATTGCCTGCACTGTTAGATTAAAAATAAGTTGTTTCAGAATCTGTGAAAGGTTTCTTTCATATTTTTTTGGTAATTTCTAGTCTAGCTTTTACTGCTTTTACTGTCACTGAACTATTTATTAAGGCAGCAGTCTGTGAGATCTGTGAATGATTTGAGAGAAAACATCCAAAGAGTACACAGTGTGAGGAAAGATGTATCAGTAGTGGGAATGAATAGGAAAGAAAATCTCTGGAACCAATCTGCAGAAGTACCAAGGTGCCCTGGATCAAAAGGGTAAAGAGAAAATGTAAAGTGCGTTCTATTCCTTCTAAATGACCAAGGAAGCTAGGTTGGCAGGGAGATATTAGGTATCTTCAGTACTTTGGGTAGGCTTTTCTGCTCTATTTATTGCTGCCTGATGAAGACCTCTATGGACTAACGTTTCATTTCCAATTACTGTTTGTGATACCTCATTAGACTGTGGGTGGAAGGGGAGTGGTTAATTGCTTTCAGATTGGACCCTCTGTTGGAATCCATTTGGTTATTTTACAGTGGAACTGCTGGATGAAGTGGAACAAGGTGCAGAGAGAGAAAAGGCATCTTCTGTTAGGTATGATGGAGTAATTTTCTTAATTGTTATCTTACCCAAATGTACACATTAGGGTAGAAAGCATTATCTCTAATTCATGATCTAAATAATTGCTCAGATGGCCTGAGGTAATAGAAATGAGAAGAAATAGATGTTTCTTCTATCTTTTGATGGCACCTTTAAATCAATGTGTGGCTAAATCTGTGTAAGGCATCAGCAAACAAAGAACAAGTTCACCTGAGTGTTGTTTTCTGTAAGCATAGTCTAAATACAGAAAGAACAAGGATGGATAAAATGAAAGGTGAAGATCTAAACATATGTGAGCCTACTTCTCCTGTCCCTGAGTCACCAACCACCTCTCTGCTGAATCACCTCAAGTATAGCGCATCAGGTAAGTACTGGGTCTCTGAATTGTCTAGGCTAGCTCTATTGTGGTCTAGAACTCTTCAGAGTTGACGTAACTGTGAGTCAAGGTTCTGTATGGAATGCTCAGCAGGGCCATTGCTTCTAGGCTCTGAATTAAGATAAAATACTGTGATTCATTTATTTATTTAATATTTTAGGGTGTACTATATACCAGACATTGAGGATACTGAAGTGTAGTATCTCTGCCCTCGTTGAGCTCCATTATAGGAAGCAGACACTAAGTAAGATAAATCAGTATAAAATATAGTATGCTGGTGCCAAATGCTAAGGAGAAAAAAAATAGAAAAAAGGGAAAGAGTGTGTGAAGAGAGTGGTTTTACAGTTGTAGGGTGTTTAGGACAGGCCTCCCTGAAATGGTGACATTTGAGCAAAGGCCTGAGGAGATGAAGGATTGAGCAGTGTGTATCTGAGGGAAATGTTTTTTAGGCAGAAAAAAGAAGAACTACTAAGGCCCTGAGATAGGAACGTGCCAGGATCTTGAAGGAATAGCAAGATCAGTGTAGCTGGAGCAAGGAGAAAGATAGATGAAGTCGGGTAGGCCTATCATGGAGGTCATTGTAGATCATTGAAGAGACTCAGGCTTCTACTCTGAAATGAGAGGAAAAGCCATTGGAAGATTTTTGGTTTTATCATTTCTCTAATGACTAAGAATGTTAAGGATCTTTTCGTGTCCTTATTTTCCGCCTGAATATTTTTGGTGAAATGTCTGTTCATATCTATTGCACATTTTCTTATTGGGTTGTTTTATTATTATTCAGTGTTGGGAGTTCTTTATATATGCTGGATATAAATCTTTCCTCAAATATGTGCTTACAAATATTTCTGCAAGTCTGTAATTTGTCTTTTTATTCTCTTAAAGTATGTCTCAAAGAGCAGACATTTTTAATTTTGATAAAGTAAAATTTATACATTTTTTTCTTTTATGGATCGTACTTTTGATATCAAGAAGTTTTTTCCTCAGTCACAGAGGTTTTCTCCTATGTTTTCTTCTACAAGCTTCATGATTTCAGCCTACATTCAGGTCTAGGACCCATTTTTACTTAATTTTTGTACACAATGTGAAGTATGGATCAGCATTTGTTGTTTTGTTTTGTTTTGTTTTGTTGTTGGATGAGAATAGCCAATCGTTCCAGTACCCTTTTTTGAAAAGACTGTTATTTTCTAAAATTACCTTTGCACCTTTGTCAAAAATTAGTTTTCTATATATATGTAGGTTTATTTCTGGACGCTATATTTTGTTAGATTGATCTATTTTTCTGTATATATACCAATACAAGACTATTTTGTTTACTACTTTTTTTTTTTTCAACGTTTATTTATTTTTGGGACAGAGAGAGACAGAGCATGAACGGGGGAGGGGCAGAGAGAGAGGGAGACACAGAATCGGAAACAGGCTCCAGGCTCTGAGCAGTCAGCCCAGAGTCCGACGCGGGGCTCGAACTCAGAGACCGCGAGATCGTGACCTGGCTGAAGTCGGACGCCCAACCGACTGCGCCACCCAGGCGCCCCTGTTTACTGCTTTTTTAAAAACTGTTTTGTTTACTATTGGTTGATGATAGATCTTAAAATCAGGTAGTGTTAGTTCTCCAACTTTGTTCTTCTTCAGAGTTGTTTTGGATATACTATGTTCTTTGCATTTCCCCATGAATTTTATTTTTTTTTAATGTTTATTTATTATTGAGAGACACAGAGTGTGAGTAGGGGAGGGGTAAAGAGAAGGGAAGACACAGAATCTGAAGTAGGCTCCAGGCTCTGAGCTGTCAGCACAGAGCCGGATGCGGGGCTTTAACTCACAAACTATGAGATCATGACCTGAGCCGAAGTCTGTTGCCTAACCAACTGAGCCATCCCGGCTCCCCTTCCCCATGAATTTTAGAATCAGGTTGCCAAAAAACCTTTGAAATTTTTACTGGGATTGCAATGAAATTAGTAGATCAGTTTGGGGAATATTGGCATCTTAACAAAATTGAGTATTCCAGTCGTTTAACCCAGTGTATCCATCCCTGAACTCTTTAATTTCTCAGCAGTGTTTTGTAGTTGTCAGTTATAAGTTCTACACATCTTTTGCTGTATTTATCCCTAAGTATTTCACATTTTATATTATTATAAATGGCATTTAAAAAAATTTCTACTTCCCACCGGATAGTATCGAGCAGAAGAGTAACATGATCAGACTTCTGTTTTGACAAAGTTATTCTGGATGCTATATAGATACTGAGAGAAGGACAAAAGTAAAAGCATGAATACCTGTTAGGCTATTGAAATAATTTTAAGACGAGTTGATACAGTAGCTTGGACCCTAGTGGTAGCAGTATCTTAAACAGTGGTGGAATTCTGGATGTATGTTGAGGCATAGCCAATACAGTGTACTGGCATGTTAGATGGGGATGTGAGAGAAAGAAGGGAATCAAGGGTGAGTTCAGGGATTTTGGTCTGAGTAGCCTGAAGCATGGAGAGTGATTTAACTGAGATGAGAACCATGCTGGTTGGAACAGGTTTGGAGAGATGATTAAGAGTTTTGGTCCACTGAAGTCTGAATGTAAGCCTAGAGATGAGGAGAAAGGTCTGACATGGAGATACAAATGCAAGAGTTAGCCCATAGATGATATTAAAAGCCTTGGGACTAGATGAGATCACCAGAAGAGTGAGTATGGATAGAGAAAAACAGGTGTGTGGACTGTCCTATGCCACTCCAAAGTTTTAGAGGTTGGAGATGAAGAGAAACTGTATGTTATGTTATACCTCTAAGTATTTAAATTGCATGATTTAAAAACGTAAGGACCCAGAGAAATCCAAAAGTATGGGCTATGGCCCATCTCCAGGACTGACTTGTTTTAAAGCATTATTTTTTTTTAAGTTTATTCATTTATTTTGAGAGAGAGAGAGCCTGCACAAGCAGGGGAGGGGCAGAGAGAGAGAATCCCAAACAGGCTCCACGTTCTCAGCACAGAGCCCAACAAAGGGCTTGAACCCACAAACTGTGAGATCATGACCTGAGCCAAAATCAAAAGTTGGTCGCTTAACCGACTGAGCCACCCAGGCACCCCTAAACTGTTACTTTTTTTTTATTATTATTATGAGCATCCTTTTAAAAAGGACATGTCTAGGTGAGTGTATGACTTAGGCTCAGGTCAGGATCTCGCAGTTCGTGAGTTTGAGCCCTGTATTGGGCTTTGTGCTGACAGCTCAGAGCCTGGAGCCTGCTTCGGATTCTGTGTCTCCCTTTCTCTTTGTTCCTCCCCCACTCCCACTCTGTCTCTCTCTCAAAAATAAATAAAGATTAAAAATAATGATTTTCAAAAAGGGCATGTCTTAAAATATTGAAGACATAAATCTATGAGGAGGGAAACATTACTGGATTTTCACAGGAGATGATTAAATAATCTAATTCATCAGATTGTCATTGGTGGGGCTTTTGTTTATTCTCTAGAGTGTTCACTGTGTAATGGGCTGATGCAGGTGATAATGAAATAACATTAGACCTTTGAGTTGCAATAGAGGAGGAATTTATGAGTATGGCTAAAATTAGTGGGAGGGCAATTCTATTGCCAGAGAAGACAAACATACCAATTACCATCATTCTCCAGCAGAAGAAGAGGAGGTGACATACACAGTCATTGATCAGTTCCAGCAGAAGTTTGGTGCTGCAGTAAGTATTGACCTTCCTGCTATTGTCTGAATGTAGGTATCATGTTTATGTCTGATAAATTTGTCTCTTATTAAAGGATCATTGATATTTTCCCTAATAATTCAACAAAATAGGGGTGCCTGGGTGGCTCAGTGGGTTGGGCGTCCGACTTCAGCTCAGGTCATGATCTCACAGTCTGTGAGTTTGAGCCCTGTGTTGGTCTCTGTGCTGACAGCTCAGAGCCTGGAGCCTGCTTCAGATTCTGTGTCTCCCTCTCTCTCTGACCCTCCCCCTGTCATGTTCTGTCTCTCTCTGTCTCAAAAATAAATAAGAAAAATTTTTAAAAAATAACAATTCAACAAAATATATGAGTGCCTGCTATATGCCAGGCCTCGTTCTGAGGTCTGGGGTAAATAATAATAAAGATACGGGCGCCTGGGTGGCTCAGTTGGTTAAGCGTCCTTCGGCTCAGGTCATGATCTCGCGGTCCGTGAGTTCGAGCCCTGCATCGGACTCTGTGCTGACCGCTCAGAGCCTGGAGCCTGTTTCAGATTCTGTGTCTCCCTCTCTCTCTGACCCTCCCCTGTTCATGCTCTGTCTCTCTCTGTCTCCAAAATAAATAAACGTTAAAAAAAATAAAAAAAAATAATAAAGACAAAGTTCCACCCCTAAGGGAGTTTACATTTTAATGCAAGAAAATAAACAATTGCATATTACCTGGTGAGAAGTGCTATGAAGAAAAATGAAGTGTGGTTTGAGGAGTAGAGTACAAGGAGTTCCTATTTTATATAGGGTGGACAGAGAAAACCTCTGTGAAGAGAGGACATTGGAACAGAGACCCCAAAGAAGGGAACTAGCTATTGGATATTTAGGTAAAGAACTTGAAAAAAGCATAATTATCAAGTGCAAAGACTCTGAGGATGAAGCACACTTAACTTGTGTGAAGGAACAAACAGCAGGGATGCAAGACCACAGTGAAGAAGGATAGGAAATGGAAGGGGTCAGGTGGAAGATCGGGCAGGGCATTTTGGACATTATAAGGATTTTGAGTTTGACTTGAGTAGGATAAAAAGCCATTGGCAGTTTTAGAGGTGAGTCAGATATTTTTTTTACTCCTATTTAAAAAAATTCATTCTAGATTCTCTTTTTAGGCATCTATAATCATATATTCAGACATGACAGTAACTATTCAGCCTAGCGTACAGTTCACAGATGGACTTCAGGGGAGTCATTAAGCTTTCTGTTTAGATGCAAGCTTATACTTGCGCATGGGTGCATTTTTTTAATTGGGAGAGCATCAGCTTTCCATGGATTCTTTTTTCTTTAACCACTTAAATGAGATGTAGTTCACATGCCCTAAAATTCACCAATTTAAAATGTATAGTTCACTGGATTTTAGCATATCTACGGACTTGTAAATATGTCACAAAGAATTTGAAAACATTTTCCTTTTTTTGAAGTTTTTTTGTTTTTGTTTTTAAAGTAATCTCTACACCCAATGTGGGGCTCAAACTCACAATCAAGAGTCACTCTACCAACTGAGCCAGGCCAGGCACCCGTAGACATTTTTGATACCCCCAAAAGAAACCCTACACTTGGTAGATGTCACTTCCATTCCTCCCCAGTCCCCAGCCCTCGGCAACTTTTCCGCCTCTATGGATTTGCCTATTTAGGACATTTTGTATAAATGGGGTCATACAATATGTAGTCATTCATGACCGGCTTCTTTTGCTTAGCATATTTTCATGGTTGATGTATTTTATAGCAATTATCAGTGTTTCACTTATTTCCATTGCCAAATAATACTCCTTTATATGGATATACCATATTTTATTTATCCTTTCACCGTTTGAGTTCTTCCTACTTTTTGGCTATTATGAATAATGCTGCTATGAACATTCATGTACAAGTTTTTGTTTGCACATATATTTTCATTTCTCTGGGATAGATACTTACGAGTGCAATTGCTGGATCATCTAGTAACTCTGTGTTTAACTTTTTGAGAGTCGACCATTGTTTTCCAAAGGTGCTATACCATTTCACATTGCCATCAGCAGGATATGGGGGTTCTAATTTCTCCACATTCTTACCAAAACTTGTTATCTGTCATTTTGATTGTAACCATCTTAGTGGTGTGAAGTGGTATCTCATTGTGGTTTTGACTTACATTTCCATGATGTATAATAATGTTGAACGTTTTTCATATGCTTACTGCATATTTATATGTCTTCTTTGGAGAAATGTCTATTCCCTTGCCCATTTTTTTTACATAGGCTTCACGCCCAACTTGGGGCTTAAACTCATGATCCTGAGATCAAAGAATCACATGCTTTACCAATTGAGCCAACCAAGTGCCCCTCCTTTGCCCATTTTTAAATTGACTTATAAGAATTCTTTTTTTTTTTTTTAATTTTTTTTTTCAACTTTTATTTATTTTTTTGGGGACAGAGAGAGACAGAGCATGAATGGGGGAGGGGCAGAGAGAGAGGGAGACACAGAATCGGAAACAGGCTCCAGGCTCTGAGCCATCAGCCCAGAGCCTGACGTGGGGCTCGAACTCACGGAGCGCGAGATCGTGACCTGGCTGAAGTCGGACGCTTAACCGACTGCGCCACCCAGGCGCCCCAAGAATTCTTTATATATCAACATATTCTTTGAAGGGTCAAATGATAATAACAAAAAATGAGGTAAGAACCTGGAAATTTGAAGAAGTTGTTGGAAATTCTTGTCAATAGGGAAATTCAGGTTTGTTTTCAAAGTTCTGCAGCCTTCTTGCTGTTGCCTGAGGATGGAACTAAAATTCAGTCCCTTTTTTTAATCATTGATGAAAGATACTCAATGCAGAACACTCTATGCTCTCTAGAGGAAGATATCATGCTAGTGAAAGTTACCATGTCCTTCTATTCTTGAGTAATTTGCCTGCCTGTAAAATGGGGAGAATCTTGTATCATATAGATATTTTCATAGATTATGGATTAAGGATTTTAGAAGTGTATAATGTTTTGAAATAGGATAAGATTATAGATAATTGAAGGACCAGCATGTGTTCTTGGAATACCGTGACATCAGTTTTGAGTCACTTAATGAATCTAAGACTTTAAGGGACCTATTGAGTTCTTGTTTCTCTCATTCTGAACAGTATATACTGTGAGACTCAGCCACTATGTCAGTTCCCTTCTGGTACAGTAAATTGCCTGTGTCAGGGCAGTGTTCTTTGCATGAGGAATCTGGTCATAAGGACAGAACTCTTTTGGGGGTTCCTGGGTGGCTGAGTCGTTAAGTATCCAACTCTTAATTTCAGCTCAGGTCACAATCTCATGGTTCGGGAGATTGAGTCCCACATCGGGCTCTGTGCTGTCAGCCCAGAGCCTGCTCAGGATTCTCTCTCTCCCTCTGTCTCTCTCTGCGCCTCCCCCTGTTCACTCACACACTCTCTCTTTCTCTCTCAAAATAAATAAATAAACATTTTAAAAAAGATAGAAATCTTTTGCTATAGTATCAGTGATAACAAAAGGTATCTGAGTTTTCAACTCTTAGCATCTAGAATATGATTTATTTTCCAGTTGTGTAACAATTTTGCAAAAAATAAAAAGAGGATTAGAAATGTTCAGTGTTGTGCGTGAGAGAGAGAGAGAGAGAGAGAGAGACAGAGAGAGAAGCAGACTTGTGTTTTGGGTAAGTCAAATTTTGTAAGTTTAGAAAACATTATCCCACTTTGTTAATTGCTAGCCATTTTACTTGTGCCATTCATGATGTCATACTTGGAACATTTATTCCCTAGAGATTTTCTTCCTTTTTCTCACCAGATGCTTCACATCAAGAAGCAGAGTGTCCTGAGTGTGGCAACAGAAGGTGCTAATGTGTGTCGTCATGGGAAGCTGTGTTGGCTTCAGGTAAAAGATACTTTAAACTTTTTATTTTGAAATAATTGTGGATTTACTGGCAAATTAATTTTAATTGTCTTCTTAATGTCACCTCAGTGTCACTGTCCTATAACTTGTTTGGAATGTCTTTTACTCTTCTAGTACTTTCTCTTTTCAAAAGGAAAGATGGGCACCTGGGTGGCTCAGTCAGTTGAGTGTCCAACTCTTGATTTCAACTCAGGTCATGATCCCAGGCTTGTGGGATTCAGCTCCAGGTTGGGCTCTGCACTTAGTGGAGCCCAATTGGGATTTCTTTCCCTTTGTCCCAACCCACCCACCGCTCATTCTCTGTCTCTAAAAATTAAAAAAATTTGAAAAAAAGGAAAGAGCTTCTGTCACTTTATAGGTTCACTTTTATAATCATCATTGCTGTGCTCATCAAGGCTCTGTTTGAGGTCTTCTTTCCCAGCTCTGTTCTCTCACCTTAGATCTATGAAGAATTTCAGAGGCGGCTGGCTGGCTTAGTGAAGTGTGCGACTCTTGATCTTGGGATTGTGAGTTCAAGCTCCACGTTGGGTGTAGAGATTACTTAAAATAAAATCTTTAACTTAATTAATTTTTTAAAGTAGTCTCTACACCTAATGTGGGGCTTGAACTTCCAGCTCCAAGATCAAGAGTCACATGCTCTACCAACTGAGCCAGCCAGGCGTCCCAAAAATAAAATCTTAAAAAAAACCCACAAAGACACGTGAAGAATTTTTATTTTACCTTCTGGTTGGTAGCATTCCACAGCAGTATTCTGCCACATCATTTTCATTTTCATGGACCTGGGAGATGTCAGGTAAGGATCCCAATTATGTCAAAAGATGTTTGTAGTGAGCCTTTAAAAGTTATAGGATGGGCTTTGGATCAACCTCGGCAGCATCAGTTTTTAAGGGGGGGCAAGAAAACAGGCTGAATATTCTTTGAGTCAGGAACTACCTCTACCTATTGAGATTATCAATTTTATTATTATTGGCTATCTGCCCACTTCTCAGGGTTACACTGAAGTATGTATCCTAAATAATTCAATTCAAAATATGAAAAAAATTATGTGAGAACCTAGTCTCTTGGCATCATTTTATGGTGAAAAATCAGAAACCACTTTAGTTGACAATAGGAGACATTACTGTAGATTTGATAGATCTTACACAGCTGCCAAAAATTGATGATGAGTACAATGTAGAAAAATGTTTGAAAAGTTATGAGTGGAAAACAGCAGGATATAGAACTGAAGGCATATTCTCAGAACCATATACATTGTTTGCATATGAAAAATGGAAAGGAGCAATGTGTGGCATGTATTGGTTCACCGAAGAAATGTCTAAGCTATCCATGCTCCTAGTTCTGTTCTAGTTGATATATGTGCAGTGGTGAATCTGTTCTCTCACAGAGTTTATAGTCTAGCAGAGAATTACTCTCCAAACTTTTCTAATGTGCCTATTCAGTTCGTATAGTTAAGGAAGTAGAGAAAACACAGGGAGTGTCTGTTTTAAGTGTCATATTCTAGCAGACAACATGAAAGATCTGAGAATGGGTGCCAGGTAGGCCTGGAAATTGTAGCTATATCAACAGCTCCTAAAATGACAAAGATGGCATTAGACTGCCGTGTCGCTGGCTCTCTAGACCTTATTTGATCTCTCTTTGCCTTCATTCTCTGACTTAGTAGACTATCCAGCAATATAGTACTGCCTTTGTGACCTTTATGATCAGAAACAATCTGAAATTCTTATAATTGTATAAAATTGATCTAAAAAGCCACGTTTCACATCCTACCATTAGTGGCACTTTATTTGTTGCCTTTTTTTTTTTTTTTTAATTTTTTTTTCAACGTTTATTTATTTTTGGGACAGAGAGAGACAGAGCATGAACGGGGGAGGGGCAGAGAGAGAGGGAGACACAGAATCGGAAACAGGCTCCAGGCTCTGAGCCATCAGCCCAGAGCCCGACGCGGGGCTCGAACTCACGGACCGCGAGATCGTGACCTGGCCGAAGTCGGACGCTTAACCGACTGAGCCACCCAGGCGCCCCTATTTGTTGCCTTTTTAAAACTGCTAAAGGGCAGAGATCTTGTCTTATGAGTAGTATTTTTTTCATCTTTATTTATTTGAGAGAAAGTATGTGCGTATGTGCTTGGGTTGGGGGGTGGGCAGAAAGATAGGGAGAGAGAGAATCCCAAGCAGGCTCCTCACTGAGCTTGGAGCCTGATGTGGGCCTTGACCTCACGACTGCAAGATCACCACCTGAGCCGATACAAGAGTTGGAGGCTCAACCAACTGAGCCACCCACATGCCCTTTTTATGAGTAATTTTATGCAACACCTAACACAACCATGCATATTATGAGACTCAGAGAAATAGCATTTTTTGTTATTAACAATGAAATGCTGTTCCTTCCCTTTCAACCTATAATCCTTGGATTGCTAAAATGCCATGCGTGAAAGGTAAAACATTAAGTTTGAGACTGTAAAAAGCAAAAGGCTAAATCCACTAGCTTGTGTCTCTTTCTGTTCTTTTGAAAAATCAGTGATAGTTTTTCTTAGATTAATTTAAACTTCTTTTTCCTAAGAATCACTGAGTGCCTATTGTTTACTTTATTTATTTATTTTTTTTAAATTAAGAACTCATTAATTTTTTTAAATTTTTTATTTTTTTTATTTTTTTTTTATTTATTTTTTTTATTTATATATGAAATTTATTGTCAAATTGGTTTCTATTGTTTACTTTAAAAGTGACAATCTGAGAGGGGCATCTGGGTGACTCAGTTAAGCGTCTGACCTTGGCTCAGATCATGATCTCATGGTTTATGAGTTCGAGTCCCACATCTGGCTCTGCACTGACAGCTCAGAGCCTGGAGCCTGCTTTGGATTCTGTGTCTACCTCTATCTCTGCCCTGCCCCGCCCCTGTTTGAGCTCTGTGTCTCTCACTCTCTCAAAAATAAATAAACAAAACAAAACAAAAAAAAAGCGAGGATGTGAGGAGTGCCTGGGGGCTCAGTCAGTTGAGTATCCGATGCTTTTTTTTTTTAATTTTTTTAAATGTTTATTCATTTTTGAGAGAGAGAGAGACAGAGTGTGAGCAGGGGAGGGGCAGAGAGAGAGAGGGAGACACAGAATCTGAAGCAGGCTCCAGGCTCTGAGCTGTCAGCACAGAGCCTCATGTGGGGCTCGAACCCACAAACCCTGAGATCATGACCTGAGCCAAAGTCAGATAGTCAACTGACTGAGCCCCCAGGCACCCCAGCATCTGATTCATGATTTTGGCTGGGGTCATAATCTCGTGGTTCATGGGTTTGAGCCCTGTGTTGGGCTCTGCACTGACAGTGAGGAGCCTGCTTGGGATTCTCTCTCTCCCTCTCTCTCTCTGCCCTCTCCCCAGAGACTGTCTCTCTCAAAATAAATAAATAAAACTTAAAAAAAATAAAAGTGAGGATGTGAAATATTTTATCACATGTCTTTCTTGATCCTCAGATCCCCTTCCCTAGTTCTTTTTTATCCTTTGTATGTCTGGATGGTCTTTTGTAGGTAGCCACAAATAGCCGAGTTTACTTATTTGACATTTTCCTTCTGGGAAGTCGTGCTTTCAACAATGGACTTCAGATGGTATTAGAAGACAAGAGAATTTTGAAGGTGAGTGTGTAAGCTGATTCCTCAGCTATTAAGATTAGCAACCAGGTTCTAATTACTCTGTCTTTGTCTTCTGATTCCTTAGGTTATCCATGATTGTCGTTGGCTTTCTGATTGCCTCTCTCATCAGTATGGAATTTTGCTGAATAATGTCTTTGACACACAGGTACATGCGGGGAAACCATAGATTCAGTCCAGCATATATAGCTTTTATAGGAAATAGGGCTTATCTGATGAGTGATTGAATTTTTGTGTGTGCCTCATTCTTGTTCACTTGTCATTTGGTGAACTGTGAAAGCACTACAGAAAAGTTACTTAAAATTATTTAGGATTTTTCCCCCTCATTTTGCTCCAGAATTTGTCAAATAAGAAGCAAACTCTGGGGCACCTGGATGGCCCAGTTGGTAGAGCATGTAACTCTTGATCTCAGAGTCATGAATTTGAGTCCCACGCTGGGTGTAGAGATTACTTAAAAAATAATAATAATAAAATCTCAAAATTAAAAAAAAAGAAGCAAGCTCAATATTCTACAGCATTCAAAAACTCAAAGGATTTGGAGGTCATTCAGAAGTCTGACATGAATCACTTAATGTGAGGTGAATAATCACATCTGTGCCTTTAGCACATATGTATCAGTTAGGATTGATGGCTAGTCAGCATGTAGCTCAGAGAAGCAGGTTGTCTTAGATATGCCCCCAAAGCCTATTCTAGGCCAAAATAGCCTGAATATATGTGGTTTTTCTCTGCTCTAAAGAACTCTAGAGAAATAAGAAATCCTTAGTTTATACTAACTAGCTCTTAGAGCTCATGCGTGTTTCTGGTTTGGCTGTGAGAATAGTAAAACCACTAGTTTTCATTATGTTTTCTTTAGGTTCTTCTAGTCTTCTAGGTTTATGCCAGTTAAAGGGACATGTTGAATACATAAGCCTAGTGCCTTTGGAGAGGTTTAAAATAATGAGTTAGCCAGTTATCTTTTTTTTAATGTTTACTTATTTTTGAGAGAGAGAGAGAGAGAGAGAGAGCACGTGCACATAAGTGGGGGAAGGGCAGAAAGAGAAGGAGGCAGAGGATTCAAAGCCAGCTCTGCACTGACAGCATTGAACCTGATGTGGGGCTCAAACTTAGGAACCGAAATGTGAGATCATGACCCGAGCTGAAGTAGACACTCAACTGACTGAGTCACACAGTCATCCCTCATTTTATTATTATTATTATTATTATTATTATTACTACTATATTTTAAATTTTTTTTTCAACGTTTATTTATTTTTGGGACAGAGAGAGACAGAGCATGAACGGGGGAGGGGCAGAGAGAGAGGGAGACACAGAATCGGAAACAGGCTCCACGCTCTGAGCCATCAGCCCAGAGCCTGACGCGGGGCTCGAACTCACGGACCGCAAGATCGTGACCTGGCTGAAGTCGGACGCTTAACCGACTGCGCCACCCAGGCGCCCCTATTTTAAATAATCTCTATGCCCCAGCCAATTTAAAGAAAAATTTTTTTATTTTTTCAATATATGAAATTTATTGTCAAATTGATTTCCATACAGCACCCAGTGCTCATCCCAAAAGGTGCCCTCCTCAATACCCATCACCCTCCCCTCCCTCCCACCCCCCCCCATCAACCCTCAGTTTGTTCTCAGTTTTTAAGAGTCTCTTATGCTTTGGCTCTCTCCCACTCTCACCTCTTTTTTTTTTTTTCTTAAAGAAATTTTTAAGTTTATTCACTCAGAGAGAGAGAGAGAGCATGCACACGTGTGCGTGTAAGTGGGGGAGGGGCAGAGAGAAAGAGGGAGAGAGAGTCAATCCCAAGCAGGCTCTGCATGGTCAGTGCAAAGCCCAATATGCGGCTGGAACTCAGAACTGGGAGGTCATGACCTGAGCTGAAGTCAGACGCTTAAATGACAGCCACCCAGGCACCCATATTTTCTTAATTTTTAAAAAATTTTTGGGGTTTCCGGGTGGCTCAATCAGTTAAGCATCTGAGTTCGGCTCAGGTCATGATCTCACAGTCCGTGAGTTTGAGCCCCGCATCAGGCTCTGTGCTGACAGCTCAGAGCCTGGAGCCTGCTTTGGATTCTGTGTCTCCCTCTCTCTCTGCCCCTCCCCTGCTCATGCTCTGTCTCTCAAAAATAAACATTAAAAAAAATTTTTTTTAATAAAAAATAAAAATGTTTAAATTAAAAAGTGTTTATTTTAGTGAGAGAGAGTGCAGGCAAGTGGGGGAGAAGGGCAGAGGGAAAGAGAGAGAGAGAGAGAGAGAGAGGGAGAGAGAATCTCAAGCAGGCTCCATGCTCATCAGAGAGCCCAACATGGGACTTAATGTCATGACCATGAGATCATGACCTGAGCCCAAATCAAGAGTCAGATGCTTAACCAACTGAGCCACCCAGGTGTCCCCTAGCCAATTATTTTTGGCAGATACTCCTAAAAGTTCAATTTTATGTTGTTAAATGTAGTTCATGTTTGCTCTTTATATATCTGCTCATGATGAACTTTATACCATTTCTCTTGTTTACATGTTCCTTGGACCTTCTTTCAGGATCTTTCACTATATGGAGATTATGTCTGGCTTCCTCCAAAATGTAAGAGAGAAGGGTGCCTAGGTGACTCAGTCAGTTAAACGTCCAACTTTGACACAGGTCACTATCTCCTGGTTTGTGAGTTTGAGTCCCGCATCAGGCTCTCTGCTCTCAGCCCACTTTGGATCCTCTGTCTCCTTGTCTCTCTGTCCCTCCTTCCCACTTTCTCTCTTTCAAAAATAAATATGTATATAAAAAAAAAAAAGATTCTCTGCCTCTGCCCCTCGCCTGCTTGTGTGCACACGTGCATGCGTGTGTGTGTGTGTGTGTGTGTGTGCTCTCTTTCAAAAAAATTTAAGTAGCGCCTGAGTGGCTCAGTCAGTTGGGCATCTGACTCTTGATTTTGGCTCAGGTCATGATTTCATGGTTTGTGGGTTTGAGCCCCTCATTGGACTCTGTGTTGGCAGCGTGGAGTCTGTTTGGGATTCTCTCTCTCTCTCTCTCTCTCTCTCTCTCTCTCTTGCCCCTCTCCTGCTTGCTCCCTCTCTCTCTGTGTCTCATAAATAAATAAATAAACATTTAAAAAATTAAAAAATAAAAACTTCTTTAAAAAAAATAAAATGTGGCAGGGACACCTGGGTGGCTCAGTCGGTTAAGCATCTGACTTTGGCTCAGGTCATGATCTCACGGTTTGTGAGTTTGAGCCCCACATCGGGCTCTGTGCTGACAGCTCAAAGCCTAGAGCCTGCTTCAGATTCTGTGTCTCCCTCTCTCTGCCCCTCCCCTGTTCATGCTCTGTCTCTCTTTCTCTTCCAAAAATAAATAAACATAAATAAATAAATAAATACATACATACATACATACATACATACATACATACATACATACATAAATAAATACATAAAAATGGGGGTGCCTCGGCGGCTCAATCAGTTAAGAGTACGATTCTTGGTTTTGGCTCAGGTTATGATCTCACGGTTCATGAATTCAAGCCCTGCATCTGGCTCTACACTGATAGCGAGGGGCCTGCTTGGGATTCTCTGTTTGCCTCTCTCTCTGCCCCTCACCCACTCATTCTCCATCCCTCTCTCAAATAAATAAACTTTGAATTAAATTAAAATTTGTTAATGTAAGAGAATTTCTCATTGTTCTCCTGAGGCCATTAGGTTTTTTTTTTTTTTATGTTTATTTTTGAGAGAGAGAGAGAGAGAGAGAGAGAGCGAGCGCACAAGTGCAAGAGGGCAGAGAGAGAGATGAAGACACAGAATCCGAAGCAGGCTCCAGGCTCTGAGCTGTCAGCATGTTAGGCTTCTTGATTAGACCCCATATGGAGACGTTGGCATATCTTTCCATATTTTCTTTTCACATTTCCATAGTACAGGAAGCTAGAATTCAGAATTTTTCCAATTTTTTCCCTTTAACACAATGTATTGATTTCCTATTGCTTTTGTAACAAATCACCACAAATTTAGCAGCTTAAAGCAAAATAAATTTACTCTTTTACAGTTCTGGAGGTCAGCAGTCTGAAATCATTTTCACTGAACTAATGTCAAGATGTCAGCAGGGTTGGTTTCTTTTGGAGGCTCTGAGGGGAGTCTCTTTCTTTGCCTTTTCAGGTGTTACCTGTATTCTTTGGCTTGTGGCTCCTGCCATCTTCAGAGTGTACCACTGCAACTTCTGCTTCTATCACCCGATCGCCTTCTCCCGTGACTATAATCAAATCTCTCTGCACTTCCCTCTTATTGTTACATTTAGGGCCCACCCATAAAATTCAAGAGAATCTCCCTACCTCAATATCCTTACCTTAATCACTCCTACAAAGTCATTTTGCCGTGTAAGATAACACTGACAGATTCCAGGGGTTAGGATATGGATGTCTCTGGGGGCCATTATTTAGCCTGCCACACACAGATTAAATAATATGTCCAATTCTTAATTTTTTAAAAGATTTTACTATTTTTAAGTTATTTTTACACCCAGCATGGGGTTTCAATTCACAACCTTGAGATCAAGAGTCCTCGAATGCTCTGCCAACTATGCCAATCAGGTGCCCTTCCATTTCTTAATTTTATTCGCTTTCCTTACCAACACTTTCCCAGAGTTGCTGATAAGTAATACAAACACTTACTGAAATTTATTTTCCTTTCTCCATTGTCTAATGGCACCAAAGAGTAATAGATAACTGTAAGGCAGGCAAATAAAAGGAGTAGAAGACAAAGTAGACAAGGATGCATTAAAGTTGGGTGATCCTTTTCCTTTTTTTTTCCTCCTAATTTTTTAGAATAAGTTGACTGAACATCTTTTCTGTTGGCATTATCTATCATGTGGGTCTTTGGGGAAAATGGTATTTAATGACATTTTTCTAAATATATTTCTATTTATGCCATGAGATAGGTCTCTATAAATATTCTATATTGTACAGACAAGTCTTTTTTTTTTTTTTTTAATGCCACAGGTAGCAGATGTCCTTCAGTTTTCCATGGAAACAGGTGGCTTTCTTCCAAATTGCATCAGTTCTTTACAGGAGAGTTTAATCAGACACCTTAAAGTAGCCCCTAAATATCTCTCCTTTCTGGAAGAGAGACAAAAATTGATTCAGGTGGGTATTAAAGAATGTCCCACATGACATTAATTTTTTCAAGTGTTTTGTGAGCAGGATTATCATCATATTATATAGACAACTGACAGTTGTTATGTAAGCATATGAGCATTGCCAAAATCTTAATTGTTTCAAATGGAAATAGTTTGTGATCTCAAGTGAATAAAAGCCAGGATTCAGATTTGTACTCTGAAATAAATTTGCAATTCTCCAGGGGAAGAGAATTCCCATATTGTTGGGAATATGGATTAAGGTGATGGAAGAAAAATCATCCCAATTATTTCTCCAAAAGTAAGGTAAATTTTCCTTAGTTCCTAATAGCTCTGCCTACAAACTTAGGTCATGACTATATTGGCCTCAGTTTTGGTCCTATAATTAAGTCTACTTCAGTTTTGAATGAGAAGTCCTGATTGATTGATGGATCAATTGATTGATCCATCTCTCTCTTTCTCTCACCCTCCCACTCCATCTTTTCCCTCTAACATACACACACTCATACATACATGAATTGTGTGTGTATATTTTCGGAAGGCTAGCCAGAGTGTGAAGATAGAAGATAATAACTGAAGAAAATGACAGTAACTCCTAAGCAACTCTTGAATAAACATTTACTTTCTTTAAAGTTTTGCTTATTATTCAGAGAAAATTGTTTTGGTGTTTCTAGGAAAATCCAGAAGTGTGGTTCACACGACCTCTTTCACCATCTTTACTGAAAATTTTGGCCCTAGAGGCTACCTACCTACTACCCCTTCGTTTGGTACTCCTGGATGAGATGATGTCTGACCTAACCACCCTTGTGGATGGTTATCTAAACACCTATCGAGAAGGGTCCGCAGATCGCCTGGGAGGCACCGAGGTAGGTACAGCTGTCTGTGACTGTATTTTTAGGACTTCCACTTCTGTCTTGGTCCTCGTAGAGGGCACAGTGATGCCCACTTTTCACAGCTACAGCAAATCCTGAGGCCAACTTGGTAATAAATATTTTTGAAGGGGCTATAGCTTGGGCTTAATTCATCTCTTTGAGTACTTTTTCACAATATTAAGTTATGTTCTGTCAAGGAATGAATAAATTTAAGATTTAATTACTAATTTTTAAGAAGCCAGCATAATGTAACAGAACTGTAGACCTGGAGTTGGCAAACTATAGCCCTAAGGCCACATCTGGCCCACAGATTGTTTTATGCAGCTCGAAGGTAAGAATGGTTGTTATAGTTTTAAAGGATTGTTTAAAAAAAGTGTATGCAACAGAGAGCATTTGTGGCTAAAATATTTATTATTTGGCTCCTTACATAAAAGGGTTACAGTCTGCTGCTATTAGCCATTTTCACTTAGGAATACTGAAGCAAAATCCTAAATAAAGTAATAGCATTTTTGGTATGATCCCTACTTAGATGTATTATACTAATACATCTTTTAGTATCTTTTAACGTGCTCCTGGTTTCTGCTTTACTATTAGCAAATTATCCATTTTACTGGAACAAACAAAGTCTTATGATTATCTCATGCATGCTGAAAAAAATGTAACTTTCCTGTATTTTGCTCTCACTGTTTAACAACAACAAAAAATTATAAAAATTCTTGCATACCTGGTTTGATTGGAGAATTTAAAGCTCTCATTTATCATCATAAAACTAAGGAGTTTTATAACTTTATTTTGTTCTCACTGTTTAGTGCTGAAAAAATTTGGTAATATTCTATATACATTACTGATTAAAGTTGGAATGCCTGATAAAACATATATCACAAGCAAGAAGTCTACATAATGTTTGATTGGGAACACTAACAGCATTCCCATTAATATCAAGAAAATACAAAAATTGTGACTACCACAACTACTTTAACATTTTTTTGAAGCTATTAGCCAATTAAATTTGAAGGAAAAAAAAAGACAAACTACAAAAATTGAACAGGATGAATCACAATTATGCCTAGCCTATGATACAACTGAAAACTGAAGAAAATCAATGGAAAAAGATTACCACAAAGGAACAATTTAGTAAAATGAATACTGATATAAAACGTGATAGCTTTCCTACATCCATACACACAGCAAGAAAACATAATGGGAGAAAACATCCACTTATATGATTGTAACAAAAGGTAGAATACCTAGAAATAAATATTATAAGAAATGTGAAATACAGAGATAAAGAAAACATTAAAATATTACTGAATGACATAAGAGGACTTAAATGAATGGTGACACTAAGTATTTTTAGCAATCAGTTATTCCTGAATTAACTTTTGAATTTACCTCTATTCTAAGAAAAATATTAACAGCAGCTTTATTTTTGCAAACTATGATTGTAGTGTTTATAAAGATAAATATAAATAAGAATAATCCTGTCAGCTATGAAAACATTTAAGTCTATATTAAATAAAACAGGTGTGGGGCGCCTGGCTGGCTCAGCCAGTAGAGCATATGACTCTTGATCTCGGGGTTGTGAGTTTGCCACTTTGGGTACAGAGATTAGTTAAAAACAAACAAAAAATTAAAAATTAAAAGTTTGTGACTGGTACGTGTGTAGGCAGATCAATGGAAAATAGTAGAGAACCCAGCAGTAGCTCCAATATATATCTATCGGTATAGTTGGGATAAAGGTAGAATTTCCAATTAATGATAAAAAGATAATTATTCAATAAATGGCTTTAGGCAATTGACTAACTATTGTAGGGGAGGAGATCAGAGTTGGATTACTATTTCTTTTATTACCAAAGTAAACTCCTTGGATCAAGTATTTATGTAAACAGTGAGATTATAAAATTATTGGAGAAAAAAGAATTAAAAGAAAAGTATTTCAGGGGCGCCTGGGTGGCGCAGTCGGTTAAGCGTCCGACTTCAGCCAGGTCACGATCTCGCGGTCCGTGAGTTCGAGCCCCGCGTCGGGCTCTGGGCTGATGGCTCAGAGCCTGGAGCCTGTTTCCGATTCTGTGTCTCCCTCTCTCTCTGCCCCTCCCCCGTTCATGCTCTGTCTCTCTCTGTCCCAAAAATAAATAAACGTTGAAAAGTATTTCACAATAAGGAATGCTTTTCTTCCCCCCGCCCCAATTCATTGAGGAATAATTGATAAAATTAATTGTATATAGTTAAAGCGTACATTGTGAAAATTTGCTATACATATACATTGTGGGAATCATTATTGACACTAAGATAATTAACACATTTGTCACCTCATATAGTTAACTCTGTGCGTGTATGGTGAAAATGCTGAAGATTTGATCTCAGCAACTTTCAATATACAATACCAAATTATTAACTATAGTTACCATACTGAACATTAGACCTTCAAAATTTATTTTTCTTGTAACTGAAAGTTTGCACCCTTTGACCTACATCTCCCTCTTTTCCCTTCCCCCCCATCCCCTTGCAACCCCCATTCTATTGTTTCTATGAAATCAGCTTTTTTTTTTTAATTCCACATATAAATGATACCATACAGTATTTGTCTTTCTCTGTCTGGTTTATTTCACTCAGCATAATGCCCTCTAAGTGCATCAATGTCACAAATGGCAGGATTTTTTCTTTTTTATGGCTAAATAATATTCCATTGTGCGTGCATACGTGTGTGTGTGTGTGTGTGTGTGTGTGTGTGTGTGAGTGAGAGAGAAAGTAACATTTTTTTTATCCATTCATGCATTGATAGACACAAGTTGGCTCTTATGAATAATGCTACAATATAAAGGGAGTGCAGATGTCTCTTTGAGATAGTGCAGTCATTTCCTTTGTATATATACCCAGATGTGAGATTGTTGGACTGTATGGTAGTTCTATCTTTAACTTTTTAAGGAATTCCATACTGTTTTCCATAATAGCTATACCAATTCAATTTCTTTTCCTGCCACCTGTGCATAAGAGTTCCCTTTTCTCCACATTCTTGCCATCATTTTGATAATAGCCATCCTAACAGGTATGAGGTGACAACTCATTGTGGTTTGGATTTGCATTTCCCTCATGATTGGTGATGTCAGATACATTTCATATACCTATTGGCCATTTGAATGTCTTCTTGGAAAAAATGTCAATTCGGGTCCTTCATTCATTTTTAAATTGGATTACCATTTGCTATTTTGCTACTGAGTTGTATGAGGGAATGCCTTTCTATGTAATGCAGAAATACTCTGAAATCATAAAAGATGAATAAATTTGAGTTTAAAATTTTTGTTTGGTGAAAATACTGTGAAGAAAGTCAAAAAGCAAGCAACCTGGGAAAAATTATTTGCCTCGTGTAACAAAGAGAACATTTTCTTAATATGTTCTTTATTGTAGCATTTATGTAATGACAGAATACTGGAAACAACCCAAATATCCATCTATATGGATTTGGTTAAATAAATTATGGCATATCCATACAGCCCTTAAAAATGCTACTATAGAAGAATGTCCAAGGTAAACTTTATGGCTTAAAAAATCAAGATGCAGGGGCACCTGGGTGGTTCAGTCAGTTAAGCGTCCAACTTTGGCTCAGGTCATGATCTTGCAGTTCACAAGTTCGAGCCCTGCATTGTGGAGCCTGCTTTGGATTCTGTGTCTCCCTCTCTCTGCTCCTCCCCCGCCCATGCTCGCTCTCTCTCTCTCTCTCTCTCTCTCTCTCTCTCAGTAATAAAGAAACTTAAAAAAAATCAAAATGCAGAAGGATATATAACACTGTTAACCATTTGTATAAAATAATTTTTAGAAAGAGTTATCAAAATAAAAGTTTGAGAGAAAACAAAAATTGAAAAATGCAATCCAATGAGAAGATAAATATTTAGTAAAGGATATTTATACACACATAATCACAGATGCATAGACTATCTTTGGGAGGCTACATAAGAAATTGCTTTTTAGAAAGTGCCCTTGCTAAGGCAATTGGGACCACAGGTTGGAGGGAACACTTCTCATTGTGTAATCTTTATACATGCACACACACATGCATAACACACAACACACACACACACACACACACACACACACACACACACATAACTGGATTCAAAATATTTAAGTTAAGGGGCACCTGGGTGGCTCAGTCGGTTGAGCCTCCAACTTGAGCTCAGGTCATGATCTCATGGTTCATGAGTTTGAGCCCTACATCAGGCTGTGCACTGCAATGAGGATCTTGCTTGGGATTCTCTTCCTCTCTCTCTGCCCCATTCCTGTGTGCTTTCTCTCTCTCTCTCTCTCTCTCTCTCTCTCTCTCTCTCTCTCTCTTTCTATTTTCTCAAAATAAATAAACTTAAAAAAAATAAAGTTAAAATATATTTGTTAATAAAAAAAATAGTACTACTATAGTTGAATACACTAGAGGGAGCTATAAGAACACATTTGAGTTGATCCTCACTTACTAAATACTTTTAAGTGTAGTGCAAGTGATTTTAAGGACCATATTTAGAAGTTTGGTTACAGCAGACTTGTGTTGTTTTCTTTTCTTAGCCTACATGTATGGAGCTTCCAGAAGAGCTTCTTCAACTCAAGGATTTCCAGAAGCAGCGCAGAGAGAGAGCTGCAAAAGAATATAGGGTGAATGCACAGGGACTCCTAATAAGGACAAGGGTACATCCAAAGAAATCAGTGCCAGAGACAGCAGGGAAAGAGGGAAAAGTAGGGTTTTCCTTACTTTGTAAAAATTCTGTACTAGATGAAACTCATCATGTAAATTTGCTGAAAGAAGAATCTAAGAATAAACAGACTTCAACAGAACCTCAACATGTACCTCCCATGAAGGAAGAAACCAACGAGGATTCTATCAATAAACTCATTTGCCTTGAGTCAGAGAGGCTAGAGGACCAGAGAATAGCTGAAAAAGAACACAGTAAGACACCCAAACAGGAGTTTCAGACAAGGTTATCTTTGAAAGAGGAGATAGAACAGTTACTGATGGTGCAAAACCAGGAAGATCTAAAATGCACAAAACAAGATATTTCAGTGTCTCCTTCCCTTCCTCAGGAAACCAGAGTCTCTCCAAGTGACACCTTTCATCCTTTTAGAAAAGCCGTGTTTCCTACATTTCCTCCCTGTCCAGCCTTGGAGAAAACTGATTCTTGGATAAATCCCTCTCCAAATCTGTCTTAGAAATGTGCGATTTGTTTTTGAGACCATGAAGGTGGCTCACTTCTTCTACCAGCAGTACCTTCCTCAGAGCTTAAGTTTGTCATGTTGGAAATTTAGTTTTGCCTCAGTCACGAAGGAACGCCTTAGGGAAAATGATATTCTCTTGCTTACTTCTACATGCCTGGAGTTTGATTAGGATGGGAATGAATAAGTTAAATAATGGAAGAAGTAAATTTTTTTATTATGTCACTGTGCGGAAATATTCCCAGTGGTCAGAGCAAATTATTTCTCATAATTTGGGTTTGGAGGATTTGAGGAGGGGAAAAATCTCGGACTTAGTATCTGGAAGCTATATGCTTTTAAACTTTTTGTTTTGTTTTTGTTTTTTTGTTTTTATTTTTAATAATTTAAGCTCTGTGCCCAACCTGGGGCTCCAACTCACAACCCCAAGATCTGAAGTCACATGCTCTACTGACTAGCCAGCCAGGCACCCCTACTTTTAGACTTTTGTTGTATTTTTTGGTCTGAAAAAGGTTGGTAAAACTTTTGCCAATAAGTTTAAAAAAATGGGAACTGATAACTTTACCAGTACTTTTTTCCTTAGTAACATTTTCCTAAAATATTAACTTTAATTTATCAATTGTACCTCAAAAAAGCTGAGAAAATACCGACTTTTTAAAAATTTTAATGTTTTGTCTGTTTTGTGTCATAGACAGGCACTAGTTAATGTTATTAACAGGCATCAGTATCCCAGTTTTAATTTCTTTTGATTCTCTTTACTTTCAGAAGGTTTTGTCCATTTTTGTAAGAAAGCAGGGGCTTCTTTTGAGTATGTTTATTATGTAAACTTGAAGTTTGATTCCCCTCTTTTGCCTGGAGTTGGTATACTTTTTTTTTTCTTAATTAAAAAAATTTTTTTTTCATTTTAAGTAGACCACACCCAATATGGGGCTTGAACTCACGAACTTGAGGCTAAGAGACACATTTTCTACCAAGCAAGCCAGCCAGCACCCAGTTGGTATACTTTTTTAGGGTGAAAGGAAGGCAGCTTGTACGGAGCCCTTTTTATATTGAATACTTGCAAGGTGCTCACGTTCTATTGTATACAATAACCAATAAACCTGTTTTGGCATTGGATTATCTCTTTTCTTCGTTTTATCACAGTAGGAATATGTTAGAGTATGTCTGGATTTCTCGGTCCGGAGTCCAGTCTAGAAATCTATAAGTTGACTCTCATACAGGTTCTATTATTTATTGTGCTTGTAGGAAACTTAGGGACAATCTACAATTAGAAACATCCTTGTCTGCACTCACTGATTCTATTATGAGTGCCTTTGAAAGACTAGTTGTGCCCTTCCAAACTCCAAAGCCCAGATCTAGTCTACACTCAAGATGAAGTCAGGCCCAAGAACAGTCAGGCCCAACAGCCCTGCTGTTGCTGTGTCTCACTTTTTCCTTAGTTTAGAAGGTCATGTGGGGCCAAGATGGCTTCTGCTTCATCTTGGGTAAATACATCTTCAGATGTATTTCAGATGTATTTCAGAATGTGGTTAATCTAAGTTTACTCTGGAAAGGGTCTGAATTCTTGTAAAATTCCTAGAATTGATTTAACTTCTTATGGAACTATTAAATTACTACACACAACATATATACATACAGGCTACAAACAAAAATGAAATATCCTTCATATTCAAAAAAAGCTTTCTTGTTTCATTATGTTTGTTTTGGCTGTAATTAAAAAAATTTCTTTTTTAATGTTTTATTTATTTTTAAGACAGAGAGTGACAGAGCATGAGTGGGAATAGGGCAGAGAGACAGGGAGACATAGAATCCAAAGCAGGCTCCAGTCTCTGAGCTGTCAGCACAGAGCCCGACACGGGGCTTGAACTCATGAACTGTGAGATCATGACCTGAGCCGAAGTCAGTCACCCAACCGACTGAGCCACCCGGGCACCCTGTTTTGGCTATATTTAAAAAGAACTTTTGGGCTGTGTTAGGCCTTTGTTGTGCTGCTCAATATGGTAGTCACTAGCTGTATGTGTGGCTATTGAAATTTAAGATTAAATTAATTAAATTTAGAAATTCAGTTCCTTGGTTGGACTTGCCTATTTCCAGTATTCAGTAGTCCCATATGCCCAGGGACTATATAGTATTGAATGTCACAGATGAAGAGTATTTCCACCGTTTGAGAAAGTTCTTTTGGACAGTGCTAGTTGAGAAGTACTTTGACTCCCAGAACTAAATGAAACTTTTGGGTTTCATCACAGTATTTTCTCAGTGGACACTCATATGCCTGGAACTGCAGTGTTCTCCACAGCCTCATTCTAGCCTGGAGTGCCAACCTAAACCCCATGTATATGCCCAGCTCCTACTGTGAAGTTCTCTTTCGGCTAGAGTGAAAAACCCATGGGGCACCTGAGTGGCTCAGTTGGTTGAGTGGCCCGACTCTTGATTTCCTCTCAGGTCATGATCCCAGGGTTGAGGGATTGAGCCCTACTGGGACTCTGCGCTGAGCATGGAGCCTGCTTAAGACTCTCTTTTCCTCTGCTCCTCTCCTCTGTGTGTGAATGCACTTGCCCTCTTTCTCTCTCTGTCTCTGTCTCTGTCTCTCCCAAATAAATAGAAAAATAAATAGAGTGAAAAATCCCTGTGTCGTTCAAGCCCTGTCAAGTGCTATGTGCCATTACTCGGACTTCTTGTCTCCATTTGCCCAGAATTTTGGGAAATCCTACGTTCTTATTCCCACCCACCATTGACTTCTTTAGTTACTCTGTATTTTTCTAGTTGAGAGTTAATAAACTTACTAAATGGTTTCCCAAACTCTTGGGGTCTTGCTGCAGTTTACACTAATTTCCCGCATCTCTTGTACTCAGGTCTGACTTCTAATTTCACCTTTCTGTACATGACCTACAATTAGAACTTCTTTTTTTTTTTTTTAATTTTTTTTTTCAACGTTTATTTATTTTTGGGACAGAGAGAGACAGAGCATGAACGGGGGAGGGGCAGAGAGAGAGGGAGACACAGAATCGGAAACAGGCTCCAGGCTCTGAGCCATCAGCCCAGAGCCTGACGCGGGGCTCGAACTCCCGGACCGCAAGATGGTGACCTGGCTGAAGTCGGAGGCTTAACCGACTGTGCCACCCAGGCGCCCCTACAATTAGAACTTCTTATATGTAATCTGACCCTTTTACTTTGGGAATTAGGAAACAGAGTTCAATGACTTCCCTGGACAAAAATGCACAGGATAGAACCAGAGTTGTTTCTTGGTCTATTCAACATTCTTTCACCTATATTAAAAAGTCACTGCAGCAGCTTTGCCTCCAATCTTGCTGTGGGCTTGGTAAATTCTAACACGACACAATAGAATTTTATTTTTTTAAAAAAATTTTTTTTCAACATTTATTTATTTTTGGGACAGAGAGAGACAGAGCATGAACGGGGGAGGGGCAGAGAGAGAGGGAGACACAGAATCGGAAACAGGTTCCAGGCTCTGAGCCATCAGCCCAGAGCCCGACGCGGGGCTCAAACTCACGGACCGCGAGATCGTGACCTGGCTGAAGTCGGACGCTTAACCGACTGCGCCACCCAGGCGCCCCGTAGAATTTTAATGCCCTATAGACCTCTCATTGTTTTGATACAAGGCAAGTGCCACTAGCCAGCTGAGATGAGACCCCTGGGTAAAGTAGGGGACCTCTGGGTATTTAGCAAGGTATACTTGCTAGGCATTTATTATAGTAGTAACACAAATAAATACCTTACAGGAAATTTAGAGAATAAAGAGAAAAATATATCATCTCACATTATATAATCCTTCCTAGTATTTTGGTGTTTTTTTTTCTTTTTAATTTTTAAAGCATTTTTATTTATTTTTGAGACAGAGAGACCGAGTGTGAGTGGGGAAGGGACAGAGATAAAGGGAGACATAGTATCTGAAGCAGGCTCTGGGCTCCAAGGTATCAGCACAGAGCCCAAAGCGGGGCTTGAACTCACCAATGGAAAGATCATGACCTGAGCCCAAGTCAGATGCTTAACCAACTGAGTCATCCTGGCGCCCCTTGGTGTTTTTCTTTGAATCTTATTTCATTCTCTTCCTCTCTCTCTCTCCCCCCTCCGGGCCCACAAACTTGAAACAGTCATAACTATAATGTAAATACACTTAGTTTGTTTTTTAAGTCATATGTTTTTCCATTTCATTATCCTAACAGACAACATTTTTAGTAGATGTTTCATTTTATTTTGCGAGAGAGAGAGAGAGAGAGAGAGCGAGTCTGTGGGAGGCAGGCGATGTTGGGGGGGGAAAGAGACAGAAAGTGAGAATTTCAAGAAGGTTCCATGTACAGTATGGAGCCCAACTTGGGGCTCAATCCCATAACCCTGGGATCATGGCCTGAGCTAAAATCAAGAGCCAGATACTCAACTGACTGAGCCACCCAGGTGCCCCAGTAGATGTTTACTTTTATTTGTTTAGTAGATGTTAAATTTTAATATTCATGTACTATTAAATAGGATTTGGAAAATACAGGAAAATAAAAAATTTACTCTTATTTCTCTAACCCAACAGTAAAAGCACTTTTGTTAATTCCAGTGTTTATGCATAGGATTTTGGCTCCTACACAGTTGTAATCATAGATATGTGAATATTCTACTTTATGAATGTCTTCCTATGCTGTTGCACAACTTTGTAAAGATTTTTTAACGACTACATAATATTTCTAAGAAAATGCTGTATGGTTTATTTAACTATATTGTGATATATTCAGCTTGTTTCCAATTCCTTATTTCATGCTTTTTAAAGCTATCGCAAAGCTTTTTCTATGTTTTGAATCATTTTGTTACAGTGAAATTGCAGAAATAGAAACAGCAGGTCAAAGAGGTTTTCTTGTTTTTGTTATTACAAAAATTTTTTTAAACCTCTTGCTAGGGGTGCCTGGGTGGCTCAGTTGATTGAGCATCTGACTTTGCTCAGGTCATGATCTCACAGTTCGTGAGTTCAAGTCCTGTTTGGGACTCTGTCCTGACAGCTCAGAGCTTGGAGCCTGCTTCAGATTCTGTGTCTCCCTTGGTCTCTACCCCTCCCCTGCTCACACTCTATCTCTCTAAAAAATAAATAAACATTTGGGGCTCCTGGGTGGCTCAGTCGGTTAAGCGTCCGACTTCAGCTCAGGTCACGATCTCGCGGTCCGTGAGTTCGAGCCCCGCGTTGGGCTCTGGGCTGATGGCCCGGAGCCTGGAGCCTGCTTCCGATTCTGTGTCTCCCTCTCTCTCTGCCCCTCCCCCGTTCATGCTCTGTCTCTCTCTGTCTCAAAAATAAATAAACGTTAAAAATAAAATTAAAAAAAAAATAAAAATAAATAAACATTAAAAAAAAAAATTTTAATGGAATGCAAGCTGGTGCAGCCACTCTGGAAAACAGTATGGAGGTTCCTCAAAAAACTAAAAATAGAACTACCCTATGACCCAGTAATTGCATGACTAGGCATTTATCCAAGGGATAAAGGTGTGCTATTTTGAAGGGACACATGCACCCCCCTGTTTATAGCAGCACTATCAACAATAGCCAAAGTATGGAAAGAGCCCAAATGTCCATCAATAGATGAATGGATAAAGAAGATGTGGTATATATATATATATATATATATATATATATATACACATACAATGGAGTATTACTCAGCAATCAGAAAGAATGATTGCCATTTGCAACTATGTGGATGGAACTGGAGGGTATTATGCTAAGTGAAATTAGAGAAAGACAAAAATCATATGACTTCAATCATATGAGGACTTTAAGAGACAAAGCAGATAAACATAAGGGAAAGGAAACAAAAAGAATATAAAAACAGGGAGGGGGCCAAAACAGAAGAGACTCATAAATATGGAGAACAAACTGAGGGTTACTGGAGGCGTTGTGGGAGGGGGGGATGGGCTAAATGAGTAAGGGGCACTAAGGAATCTACTCCTGAAATCATTGTTGCACTATATGCTAACTAATTTGGTTGTAAACTTTAAAAAATAAAAATTAAAACAAGTTAAAATAAAAAAAAATTTTTTAAGCTCTTGCTAAGTTACTTTCCAAAAGTGTTAACCAATTATATTGCCACCTCCAATTTTTGTAGTAATGATGCATCATTGAGAAC